CGCTCCCTCGTCTTGGCCCCCCCTGTTTCCAATTGCTGGCTACGCCACTGTATATACTATCATACATAATATAATATATTGATAGACTCCTGATATGCATGTAGCCACGCACACATGCCGCACGCGTGCATGAAATTTGGCTTGTCTGCTGTTGAATTTGGATGTCTGTGACGCCATGTGATGTAACGAAGCGTTATTATATATGATCGTATTTGCTATTTGTTGTGTTGATTCCTATATGCTTCGTTCAGCATGTTAGTAAAGAGATCAGAGAGAGAATGGGGGGGGAGCAAGAGAAAGAGAGAGAGAGCGAGAGAGGTGGGGGGGGGAGAAAGAGAGAGCGCGCGCACGAGAGAGAGAGAGAGAGAGAGAGAGAGAGAGGTGGGTGAGTGTCCTGGTGATTATGAAGAGTTTATAGGAGGCGTTTGGAGGATCTGAACCATAATTTCCCCGAAAAATGCAGTCATATCCAACTGGGGCTTCTTTATATTTTGAAGCTTTATTCTGTCTTAACCTAGAGAAATATTTGCCACAATGGATAGGTAGGACTACACCGTCTGGTTCTGCTCCCGCATAGGAGCATATATTAGTCCTAGTGGGAAGGCTTCTGTTGCGGTCGTGGATATACACTGTGTATTATTAATGAATTATTACGATTACGTTACCCTAACTTAAAGGTGCCTTCCCTCGAAACTTCACGCGAAAAACATAAAATCAGGCAAAAATGAAATATTTTAACATTGCACATTTGTACTTGCATATATATGTGTGATAGGTAAAAAAAATTGCTCAGGAATACGTTCATTCAAAGCTTAATTTAGACTACAAAGTGAAAGTGTCGGGTCGAATGTTTCAAACAGCGTTTAATGCTAGGGACACACGAGCGTATTTTATCGCCCGATCGCGGCGATTAAAATCGCCAGCGAATTTAATCGCCCGATCACGAAGGGGCACACGTAGCGAATTTAATCGCCCGATTTTAACATCACATGATATCAACAACGCGTCCGATTGGTTTAGAAAAATCGATCGGGCGACAAAATACGCCGGACACGGGCACACGAGCGAATTTGCCAGCGTAAATAATCGCCGGCGTAAATAATCGCCCGAAAATACCTAACATTTTGATACGGGCGATTCGTGCGGGCGATTAAAATCGGCGTCGACGTGAACGGGCACACGGGCGAATTTTTTCGAGCGATTTTAAAATTCAAGGCGCATCGGGAGATAAAAATCGCTTGTGTGCCCCTACCTTAACATTTTGGATACGGGCGATTCGTGCGGGCATTAAAATCGGCGTCGACGTGAACGGGCACACGGCGAATTTTCGAGCGATTTTTAAAATTCGCCCGTGTGCCCGGTTCACGTGACGCCGTTTTAATCGCCGCACGGAATCGCCCGTATCCAAAATGTTAGATATTTCGGGCGATTATTTACGCCGGCGATTATTTACGCTGGCAAATTCGCTCGTGTGCCCGTGTCCGGCGTATTTTGTCGCCCGATCGATTTTTCTAAACCAATCGGACGTGTTGTTAATATCATGTGATGTTAAAATCGGGCGATTAAATTCGCTACGTGTGCCCCTTCGTGATCGGGCGATTAAATTCGCTGGCGACTTTAATCGCCGCGATCGGGCGATAAAATACGCTCGTGTGCCCCTAGCATTACTTTTGCCGCTCTGCGGCGATGTTGTGACGCGTCTCTTATTGCCATGCGGTGGTGCCAAGCGCTGAAGGTCATGAAGACGGTGCTTATAGATATCATCAAGCGTAAGATAATACTCTACAAGAGTAAGATTAAGTGAGGTTTATTATTAACTTTTGATATCATATAACACGTGTTATATGATATCTATGGCTGTGCTTGGTTACGTGACCCGCGTCGACTCGTGCCGCCATGATACGGAACGGCGGCGAAAAGCGGTTTTCTAGTTGTTTTTTTCGTTGAGAAAAGATAGGCTTGATACATATTTTTACAGTTTTATTTTCAAAGCTTACGTTCAGTTAGAGTGTGGTGAGTTTATTTACGCTTTTACAGTGGTTTGTCACAAAAATGTGCATGGGAATTAAGGCATCTTTAAATGACATGCCTCGCTAAACACTCGCGTATGTTTATTAACCACTCTTGCGAGATTCTCTTTGTTCTCTGAGCGAGTTTAAAACTAACCTGTTTCATACATGGTCGCGAGCCAGTGTGCTCAGCTATTTGGTAATTTATTGGTAGTATTAGAGTATTGATAGATTGTAACAAAAACTACATTAAAATTAAAACATATTTATTTCAAAATAAAAATGTAAAGTATATTTATTTTCAACTAGTGAGTAACATGTAGTCTGCATTTTATATTTTCTGTGGAAATCAGCCATTCGATAATGTTGCGACAAATTTATAGAAAAAAATAATTCACAAACAATGTTGACCAGCCTTTTCCAAACGTTGAGCGCAGACAACGTACAATTAAGCTCTACCGGTGTAGCCTCTTCCCTCTACTCCCACCACA